TATATATATATAATATACAATTGTCAGAAAAGCACAAACTCATTATTCTCCTCTCGATCTTATTAACACTTTAACAAACTTAAACTGTCTTGGATTGTCTATAATGTCTATTTTAATTGCGAATTCTGCTATAAATTTGTAAAAAAATTAATATGGAATACAATCTGAGATCTATATAACAAAAAGTTATTAAAGCTTTTTCACATGCAAGAATTTTTTCAGATTTTTCTAAGACCGGAACAATATAAAACTTAAAAATTCGTATATGAAGAGATGATTGAAAGTGCAAACGTGCAAACTACATTGCCGACATGTTTAACGATCTTTACGCTTATAACGGAAACGCAGTCTATGGTCAAACATATCCAATCATCCAATGCCGAAACAACACGAGGCTGTCAGCTGATTTTCGCTAAAAGCGAAGGAAGCTGTTATCAGCCTTGTGATTCGAAGATCCTTTTAGTCACGGTGCTGCCGTTTTGACGCTGATATTATACGTCAGTTGCATTCGTACGATATGCACTGAGACGAGACTGGACGAGAAAACGCGCGGATTATAGAAAACGAGTTCGCGAAAGCGATATCCGGAGAAAGGCGAACGATGAGCCCGCAGGCTGACGTAAGATCAGGTGAGACATCACGATCGCGTGATTGCTTTTTGCGAGGGAAATATGCCGGAAAGTGGCGTGTTTAGATGTCGATCAGCAAACGTGCACGCATATCAGAAATGGCGCGACGCAATCTCAAAGTGACACGTGTAAAAGCGCGTAAGTAATTCGATGATAGTCGAGTAAAAAAAAATATCAGTGAAATCCACGTGGCCCTCAGTATTTATGTGACTTATTGTATTTATATATTTATTATAAGTTTGATATATTTTTCTATTTACCCTCAATATTTAATTTCATGTATTTTAATTTCTCTTTTATTTTGAAACTAAATGTAATAGCTGCATTTGATTTTGCAAATCGGAAGTTACGAATTCAGTGAACAAGAATAGAATGATTATACGGATATCTCCGATTTGCAAACTAAAATATATTGTTTTCTTTTTTTTTTATATTTAGTCATAAAAGTTGTAATAGAAGATTAATAAAATTAAATTTTATATTAAATATATTTAATATATAAGTACATAATAAATTTTTATATTCTTTGTAGGAGTGCCCAAAGCAGCCAATGGTGAAACTTCGACAAGAAGAGCAGTAATAACTGTTGGACTCATTTTTGTGGCCTCGTTGACTGCGTTATTTTATGTGTACACGAGTTTTCCAGACTTAGAAGAGTAAGAACAGTCATTCATCTGTATATCTTTGTGTTCACACTTTATACATTGTATTGGATATAATAAGCTTTTATATATTCTTTTTATAGAGATGAAAGGCAGCATATGAAGCTACCGCTTCACATAGAAGATGCCAAGAATTTGGGAAAACTGTTAGAACGATATAAGGATTTATATTACTTCCAAGTATTGGCCGGACTGTTTATCATCTACATCTTGTATCCTTGAATATTCATATACTCGTATACTCGTATTCATAGTCAGATATATTTAAGGAAGCCTTATATTTAAGGCTTCCTTAAATATATCTTTAAATACTCTACGAATTATTTCATTGACTGCTGAGCATCTAAAGATAAATTTAAGGAAGCCTTAAATACAAGGTTTGAATATTGGCGCTAATCACATATCTTTACTTTTAATGTCCTTTTTCGAAAACTATTCTGAACTGGTATACATTGGAGTGATAAAATAAAACAAACTATATAGTCAATGCTACAAATGCTTCATATGTGCTCCATCAATGCTCTGATGGAACAATTAGTAAATTTTTTTTATTAACTCAATCAATGCTTTGTAGTATTTACAGTGAGTATTGACTGTATTTTATATTTGTTTTATTTCAACTTAAGTACCAGAACATTTTCTGAAAAAGAGCCTATTAAGACAATGTGTTCCTTACATTATATCTCAATAGCCTGCAAACTTTTGCCATTCCTGGCTCTATTTTTCTCTCAATTCTTTCCGGATTTCTGTTCCGTTTCCCGGTTGCGCTGATACTCGTATGTACATGTAGTGCGATTGGTGCCACTCTGTGCTACTTGCTGTCCTCATTGCTGGGCAGGCGATTGCTGTACCGATACTTTCCAGAAAAGGCAAACGAGTGGACCATTACCGTGACCAAACATCGTGATAATCTACTAAACTATATGTTGTTCCTTCGGATGACGCCGTTACTGCCAAACTGGTTCATCAATTTAGCCAGCCCGGTAATTGGTGTGCCGATAATGCCGTTCACTGTCGGCACTTTCTTCGGCGTCGCGCCGCCTTCCTTCGTCGCCATACAGGCGGGTCAAACGTTACACAACCTCACGTCATCGAGCGATGCGTGGTCGTGGAACAGTGTAATCGTACTGTGTGTGTTTGCGTTGTTTTCCCTACTACCTGTGTTGTACAAGCAGAAACTCAAGCAGAAGTTCGAGTAAATGCCAGAATGCTCCATTGACGATATCATCAAGACGACAATCTGATATTGTACGAGAAAAACTTTCCTATCATGGAGCAGAATCTTCTACTGATAATCTCTTAGAAAAGTGAAAAAAAAATTATATCGAATGCGAATTGGGATTAGAGTCCGCTTTTTCGCACCGTGTAATTGTTTACATTTGGACACATGAATTATACGTACAAAATAGTACGACAAATTCTTGCGAGCACAACAATTTTCGCATAACTTATTTATTGTTGTTTGTAATTTATTTCTACAAGTGTGTTTTAGATTATGTGGAGACATTTAAAAATGTAAACTAAATATAGGCGAAAGTAGAAACAGACTTATTTTATTATAAGTGTCACAAATATGCCTATATTTTAGACAATATTATGTCAGGAAATGATCTCAGGAAATTCTTTGTTGATAAGATGCTGAATTTCATTTTTTATTTCATGTGTTATTGTATTGTCAGAAATAATACTCCACTTGAAAAATCTAAATCTGCAAACAATCTTATATGAATCAATATTTGAAATTATATATATATAATAAATACGAATACGTAAATACGAAGGAAAAATGCAGATAAACTTAATAAATTTTATTAAATATGGCTTCATCATTATTAGCTACATTGTTGTGGTATGTATCTACGATATTTTTCCTATCGGTGATATTAACAAAACGAAGTTAAATAACTAATAGAAAGAGCAGTAGCATTATACACTGGTAGACTCACGGGTCTCCAATACCACCAATTGTACCATACTTAAGAACATAAAAGAAGAAAATAAAATGTATAATATAAATAAAATAGAAATAAAAAAAAGAGCGCAGATCATTTATGGTCTCTAATACTCACATGTATGTCCAGCGGACAATAAGATGGTCGAAGATCTACAATGTTGAACGCATTCCGAACTTGGTGTCATTTTTATCAGTCTTGCACCGGCTACGCATCGTATCACAATATTGCTACACTCAGAATTGGGCTAAAAATTCATAAATTGACTTGTAGTTAAGACCTGCTAAGATATAACAATGCATATAAAATACATTATCTACCAATGGATAAGACGGTGATTCCGACTCGTCGATGAAAATATATTTCTCTGTGCCTTGACTCCACCAATTCGGAGTCTCCGCTGGCTTTGGAAATAATTTTCGGAGTATTCTATTGGGCTTCATACGATTTATTTTCCAAGATATGTGAGTAGAAAGAGAAGCAGTGTGAAAGATATCCAATCTATTATCCATAACATCACGGATAGTTCTGTGCAAACGTATATAACACTCTATACATAGTTTAATCAGATAGATATTATAATACATATAGTTTAACAGATAACACATATAGGTATAACACATACAGTTTAATCAGATAGATGTTATAATGTTATATAATTAGAAATTCTATCAAATTTGAATTAATATATATTTCTAAATTCTTTTTAGAGTAAAATTTCACTTTTAATGATTGAAAGCCTCTTTCAATTTTTAGAGTGAGATTCCATTCCAAAGACTTTAGAGTTTACACTATTAAAAATATCATGAAACTTAATATAGTTTTAAGTTATACAAGTTTAGTTTCATAACATTACATTAAATTTAATGTATTTGTAACTGAAAAGTACATATACATGTACATAAAATTCAACGTATTTTCCATAAAATTTTAAGTAGATTTGCATATAATTGAACACACACATTTATTTAAAACTACTGTAATTTAATTTTCAGTTAAACCATTTATTACTTCAGTTACCTCGCAAGCTTCCTTTACATTTTACTTAAATTCATAATGAAATTTCTAACAGTATATGTGGAAACTTACTTAAAAGTTTCATTAGTAGAAAAAATTCTTTTAGCATTTTCATCAAAGATATCTTGGTTGCTCCAATATAAATTAACTAGATCTTTCATCTTGATAATTGTATTATTTTCTGCTCTAGTATATGGTATACCAATGTTAAAGGATCTGTTGATATTGTGACCAGTTAAATCTAATACAGAATGGACCATAGTACAAGGCCAGCAGTCCATATCGTTGACATAGAAATATGGATTCTCTATCAAGCACCATTCGTCGTATAATTCTGAAGTAATAAATATTATTAAATATGTAAACATTAAAATACTTCCTTATACTATAATACTTTTTATATTATTCTAATAAAAAATTAATATATTAATCATTCGAGAATTACAAACCAGATAGCGATGGATATAAGCTGACAATTGGTACAGCCGCTTTACGCAACGTATATAAAGCGGGATAAATGGAGTTTTGCGAGATTCTTATAAATATAACATTTAACCAGCTTTGGCATAAGCATAACAGTATGATGGAGATAAAAACGAGTGATAAAATAATTCGCAGAGACCTCGATTGTTTCTTCGATTTTTTCGAGTACTTGGCTTCCAATTGTCGGAAACAAGCTTGAAATATTTCCGACGTTTGCGCTTCCGATACATTGTGAACGGTCGCGTATTGTTTGAGTTGTCGTACATTCTCTCTATATTCATCCAGATTGACCATAATCGCGAATCTCGTCTGTGCTAAACTCAAATAATACGTTACTACGTTCTTATTTACATTCCGAAACATACAACTAAGTGATACATACTTGCTATCAATTTTATTTGCACTTTCTCGTTTATCCTTTGCACTTGCACTCATTCTTCTCTCTCTCTCTCTCTCTCTCTCTCTCTCTCTCTTTTTCTCCTGCCTCAAAATTTGACCAATAGTAGAAAGAGAGTTCCGTGTCATGTGGTGCGTTATTCTGTCGCGTTGCTGCACTTTTTACACTTAACATCGTTCTCTCTCTTTTCAACCTGAATATATATTTATTCCTTTTTAAACTCAAACATTCTTGGAGATTTCAAGCAACGCAAACAAATCTAATATAATATCATAGAATTATATTATAAAATTAATGACATATTGTAGCGAAATAAAGTTCTTTTTGAAAACATAAAGTGCAGATAAAAAAATGTGCATAATAAAATTATGTTAATGCATATTGTTGAATTCATGACGAAATATCGCGCATGCGCAGAAAAGAGCATGCAATTTTGCTCTAACAAAAAGCACTGCTTCTCTGGACTTGGAGTCTAATCTAACTAGTTTGATGCTTTGCTTTGGCATAATGGAAAAGCCGACAATCGGGTAGTGTTAAGACACGTGGTTGTTCTCATTCCAGTTTGAGAATATTTGAAATATCTTTTGGGTAAAGTATAATTTATTTCCGGGGTGTATCGTCTCGTTATTCAATATCGGATGAAATACCGAAGTAGAGATATGAGGTTGAGTTAAAGTAAACTGATAATTAATTGATGATGCGCGGGAATCCAGTTATATTTTTCATTTTCATGGAATAACTTCACAGATTTTGGAGTTTATTGGATTGTGCACACGATAAAAGTGTCATGAGAATTTAGCATTATTCTAACGTTTAGTTTCTGTATTACTTTCTCGGAATCAATGATTTTCAACTAAATCCCAATTAACTCAACCGGCAAAACCTTATATTTATCTACATTAAAATTTTCTGCTATAATTCGTCATTTCTAATTTAATTGTTTGTTTCTATATTAAATAAAAATTATAATTATAAAAAATAAGTATTTTCTTTGACAATTTAATTATCGATTAGTTTGTATTTAGTCAAAAACACTTCATTTTTGTTAAGATTCTCAATTGTTGTTAATTTCTGTAGAAATTAATATTCTGTTCAAGAATTTTAATAAAAAAATCTTTTTACAGTTGCTGCATTGCTTTTTACAGTTGAAGCATTTCAAAAATAAGAATTATAAAAAAAAACAGCAAAGTGTGTGCGAGTGGTGTAAGTTAAGAAAAATATTTAAAGAAATAAGTAGATAGTTTAGTACTTCTTATTGAAAAGAAGAAAAAAAGAACAGTACAAATCTCAGTTGCGGAAATATAATTTGTATTAAACAATGGAGAATAATCGAGAACCACGTTGGATTATGAAAGAATATGAAAATGTAAGTTTATTAAGATTCGCTAAAGATATTTTGCTTTTTACATAATGTATAATATGAATTTGTTTCAACAGTTTGAGGAATATATGTGTAATACGACAGACAGATCAACGGTGCTGGAGAAATTTGTAAAGGTAACATATTGTAATAAAGAGAACAATATATTATGTATTAATATGTATTAATATGTATATCAATATGTGTAAGTAAAAATATTTTTCTTATTGTAGAACCTGAAAATAAATATAGTTCAAGAACAAGATCAAGAAATAGAATTTGATATAATTGGCTGTCATACTTCACTAGCTAATGCATTTCGCAGGATATTACTGAGTGAAGTACCAAGTATGGCTATTGAGAAGGTTTATATCATAAATAATACTAGCTTGATTCAAGATGAAGTACTTGCACATAGGTGAAAGAAATAACAAGATTTTTCTCTTTTATGTCCACTTTTATAAAAATTGTGTATAATAAATTAACATGTAATTTGTTTTTGAAGATTGGGACTTGTACCTCTTCGTGCAGATCCTAGATTATTCGAATATTCTTCAAACGACAAAAAAATAGATGAGACAGTCAATGATAATGATACTCTAAGATATGAGTTGAAAGTTACGTGCAGTATGAATCCACAAGCACCTAAGAATTCTCGTCTTCCAGAGGATATGTACAAAAATAGCAAAGGTACTTCACTGAATTTCTTATTATTAAATTTTCAATTACTAATCGGATTTCAACAATTTTTTTAAAACAATCTTTATTTAATTTCTTAATCACAATAAAATATGTAAATAAAATGTATAAATTTATGAGTTGGATTATATCACTTATCTTATACTCTTTTACTCATAATTTTTCACTTTCCAATCTTATAAAACCAAAACATACATGGGATGAAATTGACATCAAATTTAAAACCAATAATCATAAATCAATCACGCAAAATTATGCGTTATTTTAATCATAATGTAATATTTTTCTAATTAATTATGTGTGAAATGATAATTATGTGTGAAATAGGACAGGAACCTAAGTTTTTCATCTGATAAGAAATTCTTTTGTCATTAAACTGTTAAACATTCTAAAGAAGATTTGACTTTCATAAATTTATAGATTTATTCTTTCTAGCTGAACTAATATACTCGTACTTAAAATCATGAACATAAAAGATTTTAATAATAATAAAAGTTAATATTCTTACATCGTTATTCTTATATCATGCTTGAAAATAAATTAATATATATTTGAAATAGCAAAAGTGAGAAAAGTTTTAGTGTACTTCAGTGCAGCGAAGATAAAGAAAACCTAAATATTATGTTAATATTATGTTAATATTATGCAAGCTTAGAAAACTTAGTATTATATTAGTTTCTGAACATAATAAATAAAATACATAACATGTAGCATTCTTTTTACAGTTTACAGTAAGGACATTAAATGGATACCAATAGGCCGTCAAGCAGAGAAATTTAAAGCGGAACAAATTGGTATTTTAGAAAACGACATATTAATATGTAAAATGCGTCCTGGTCATGAGATTCATTTGTTTATGCATGCAGTTAAAGGCATCGGCAAAGATCATGCCAAATTTTCTCCCGTAGGTACGTAAGAATTTTACGAATTAAACTTGTTTTTATTTTTCATATTCTAATATAAAATATCATAAATTAAACTGATAGACAAATATAATGTTTTTTTAATTTTTAAGTTTAAAATAAATTGTTTATGTCAGTATTATATAATATGCTGTATATATTTAGCTACTGCATCATATCGCCTCTTACCGGTCATTCAGCTAATCAAACCCGTGAGAGATGAAGACGCGGATCTTTTGAAGAGCTGTTTCAGCCCCGGCGTGATAGAAGTAGTAGAACATGAGACAAATTCAGGTCAGAAGTACCGAGAGGCGCATGTTAAAAATGCTCGTTACGATAGTTGTTCCAGAAACATTTATCGTTATGATCAGCTAAAGAATTGTGTGGAAATGAGTCGGATAAAGGATCATTTTATCTGTAAGTATAAATAATCTCGAATCATTGAAAAAGAATTAATTAAGATTTGAGTTACAATCATTGTGTTATACGAATTATTTTTTCTTTTGGGCAAGTTGAAGCTACAACTTACGACAGCTAGAAAATTTATTATGTGATATAAATATATATATTTATGTTTGTGTGTACTTAATTTATAGTCACCATAGAATCTGTGGGAACATTATCATCGGCCGTACTATTCACAGAAGCTGTTAAAGTACTCCAGAGTAAGTGTAAATCATTTCTCGCAGAGCTAGCAGACATAGGAAAATAAATTTAAGCAAAATAATTTCCTTGATGAGACAAAGATTGAGAGATGAAAAAAGTGACATCTAAAATTTATCGCCGAGTACTTGCCCTTGTGGACAGCAATAACAAGATTGTGCAAGTAAATCAGTGCCAATTGATAATATATATTTAAATTAACGATTTATTTTTAGAAATTGGTTAATAAAATTACTTCATTGAAATTTAAATGCCTCATTAATTAATAAAATAACCCAATTAATTATTAATCATCATTAATTAAAATTAATTATAAACTTTATAATATATAATTGAACATTTTTTTATTAAAACTCACTTTAAAATTATAATATTGTAAGAACCAATAATAAAAAATTATACTATTATTAATCTTTAATTATGTGATTTAGTATTAAATAATTATTATAAGTTTTTGCGCAATAGTCGCAATTATATAATTGCGAAATTATCAATTTTATTACATTTCACCCAAATATTTTATAAGACGCCGGTGACAATTGTTAACCGTTTCTGAAGTAATATATTTATATCTTGTATTTTTATCAGATTTTTGTAATATCTGAACAATATTAAAATTAAAGATTATAATTTTCTACGAGAACTCGTTGAAAATCTTTATACTAGTTCATAATCATCATATTGCTTTCTCGAAAGAAATTTTAACATATAAATATATAATGAAAAAAATTAACTTAAAAAATTAAATGTAAAAATAAAATTTTTATTCTAAACTATATAAAAATTTACACGATTTTAAAATTCACATAGAATTAGTTCTTATTCTTTTTGTGAGTTATTTGTTTGAACTTTAAATGAATTCTTAACATTTAATTATAATCA